AAAGCTTTGAAATTGACGAATTTCAGGCTGATAAATGACAAAAGTAAAGAATCAACAATATTTCAGTGATCACGGTTTAAATTACATACAGAAAAAAGGAGTTTTTGTTTTTGGTGTGAACAGAGTTCACCGGAGAATGCAGAGTTTTATCTAAAGTTGAGCTATGAGAGCTTTCGTGAGTTTACATTTTTTGCCGAGTTTTATCTACAGTTGAGCTATGAGAGGGTTGTATCCAACAGTTGTTTTTTGTTTTTTAGAAAGAGATTTTGAGTTTAAATTAGTTTGCTACCTCGATAAAATAGAAGCGTAAACGTTAAAGACAAGAGTGCCTTTTGTTACTAGTGTGGAAAGTGATCATTTCTAGACTTGGATGACAAAAGTTTAAAGAACAACATCAGTTATATTCGCTTTAAAAAGTAATCTTGAAAGTTCTTCTTCTGTATCTTTTTGCCTGTGTGTGCACATCTCTATCTGCTGCCGTTGTCAGGGAAACGGCCCCCTCCTTCGCTGCTCTGGCTCTGAATCAGAGCAAAGCTACTGCTTTTAGGATTTCTGGCTTTTCATAGTTTTTATTCCGTTAAATTTGCTAAATTTGCCATTTGAACATTGTGTTATGACACAGTTAAACGTTTTTAAACACCATTAGTGAATAAGTTTTGAATATTAGTATGTTTTTGAAACCCAAATATTAGTGCTAAAAGCTGTGCAATTCTTTTTAGACCTAACATATTTCTAGATTCCATTCTTTTAAATCTGCTGCTTATTTTGTGAGTCCATTATTGTATCTGATATTTCATAGCTGTTAGTGAGAATTTTTTTTATGTTTTTATTTTAGTTACAAAAGCCGTTTTTCAAACATTTAAATTAGAATCTGAGTTAAAAGTGATTAATGATTGTAGACTTCGTCTAAAAAGAAAGAGGGAATTAGGAATAGAACAGGATAGCTGTAAAAGTATTATTAAGTTAAACTGTGACCCAATTTACAGTCTAAAAGCTGCGAGTTTTGTGAGTTTTGTTTTGTCTATAGCTCTGGCCTTGCAGCTGCTGCTCACTGCAGGGCGAGCAGAGTTTGATAGTGTCTTCCAATTCAAAATGTTTTTAAAAGTTTATTGAGTGCATTTGAAGAATGCAGCAATTATTTTAAATTAGAATATATGTTATAAATGTTCAAGTGTAAAAGGGAAATTCCATAAAGTGATTAATCCAGTTTAGTTAATCTTTTTGCTTTGACTTCATGTTTTCAATTTTTGTTTTAATGTTTTTCAAAATTCATTTTTACAGAGATTTTTCATACAGTTTTAGTTGCGATTTGAGTAATAATAATAATTTCATTCTATTTTATGGCGCATTTCAAGAAACCCAAGCAAGCCAAGATTAAAAACATCACACAGTACAGAAGTACAAAATAGAATACATTTTTTAAAGTTTAAAAAGGTTTTTTTTAGATTTGAGTCTTGTTTTTTTATATTAAGAGTTTCTGGTTTTAAAAATGTCATCATTAGTAAGATAATAAGTAATCTTTTATTTACATAGCGCTTGGGAAAACCCAGAGCGCTCCAAAATTGTTTTGACTTCAGGGAGAAAAACAATCTCATTCACATACTGATATCTATTGTTTTTTTAAATTGGCCGTTTCAAGAATTGTTTTTCAGACTCTGCCTCACTGTACGAGAGGTCACTGCTGGACACTGGACAGCGCAACGCCCACCCAGCCACAGGCCACAGAGCTAAGAGCAAAGGGCAACAATGCCACCTCTACGCCCCTCCCCCCACTACAGAAGTAAGTGGGAGTGAGACCGGGGCCACAAAGTGGAGGTTTCTGGAGGCAGTGATGGGTGGAGCATCAGGTAGAGACCTGGAGGAGAGTTGAAAGTGTGTCCAGTTGGTTTGCATCACCACAGTGTGACCTTTGACACCTACGGGTGGTTCGAGGAGTCTGGAGAAACAACCCCAAAATTTACATACACACACACACACACATACACACACATACACTCACACATTCACATTTACATATAGATACATGAAAAAGCAGAACATGAGAAAAAAGCATTTTAAAAGTTTACTCCAATGTAAACACATATTTTTAATTGTCTATCACTTGAATCTTTAGTTGAATCAGTATTTTTTGAGACCAGAAATGTTCATTTGAATTCTATATTGTCATGGACATAATTGATCTGTCCTGACACTTTTGATTTGTTGATTTTGTACTGTGTGAAGTAATTACATTGATTAGAATTAGATCTGATAAAAACACAAATTAGAGAAGTAAACTGAATCATTGCGCTTGCTTTTGTCTGAGGGACATTAGCAACAGCATGAATAGAAATTGTGTTAAAGTAGAATCAAAGTGACTTAACCATAGAGAGTAACTATTGCATTACAAGCTGTGTACAGGAACTGAGACACTGCACCATTGACCAGAAGTGCATCGCAAATGACCTGATGTGCTTCAACTGAAAAGACTGTATCTGGAGATCCTGATGTGCATCTGGAGACCAGAACCAGAACCATGGCTTGGACCCTACTGATGACCAAGATGACATCTCTCTATGACCTGACCTGATGACGACTGAGACTCACCCTCAGGGGACCTGAGGACCTGAGGACCTGAGAGAGAGAAAACTGGGGAGTGATGTTTATATTTCTGAAATCATACATTGATGAGTGCTAAATGAGAGAGATACTCATGATTCTTTCTTTTGTTTTTGTTTATCCCTAGCTTCTGGACATCTGATGATCTATTGGACACAGACATTTGCAGAACAAGAACCAGCCAATGAAAACGTCTATTGCCGATGCTATTGCTACAACCAGAAACTGTGACAAAATGCAATATACATGTTAAGTATTCAGACATCTGACAGACAAAAACTTTGAAAATGATAAAGTATGATTATTGTAGCGTTTTAGTAGATGTTAAATAGTAGTAAAAAAGTAGAATTGTCCTTCCTTTGTTTTTCATAAACATATTTCCACGTAAGAGTTAAAATAGTACCATACAATGTTATCCTTTTGATAGATCAGCTATAATATTAGAATCAGAGTTATGTTACAGCCATTAAAAGTGACAGAAGTCACAAACTAGGAATATGCCTTTGCTCAAGCTGCAGCCGAGCTTTGGAGTTAAAAAATAGAGGAAATATAGAATTAGATAAATGCATCAACCATAGATGCTTTCAAAAATAGAGATTATTTGTAGCCAGTGCTAATATCAAATGGTAAAGGGACCATTTCACAAACATTTACTTCAAAAGTAGATAAAGTTACTTACAGTTTATGTACAGTTTTATTAGATACTTGCCAAATTCACTTGTGTTCACACATGAGTGAATGTTGACAATGCAAAAGTCCATATGAGTGTAGTCTAGATTAATGCCTAGATTAATGAGATAGATTACAACCAACAGAGATTCAAAAGCATTTAAAAGCATTTTGATGTATTTGTGTATAGCACAAAAACACAATAGTAGATATTTAGATATTGAGAAGTTTCCAGCACAAACACCATTGTAGAATAACTGACCCCAAAACTGCTAAAATAGATTAGCTCTTGTAAGGATAATACTAATTTGATTAATGATGTACATTCATCCCAAACTGCCTGACAATAATATCTTGAGATAATAAAAAGTAATAAATCACTGACCACTATAGAAGTGTAAATGTTGACCATTTGCCTTACTGTGTTCACAGTTTTATTCCTGAGAATGAGAATAGACATGGAGCAAAATCCCACTAACAATAAGCCACTGATAATGAGAGTATAATACCACAGAGAGATTTATTAGATTAAAATGTATGTTTAAGAATATGGCTCAATAGAAGCAAATATGCAAACATATTTGTGAATAGATTAGAATAGTTTTAAACTATAGTGAATAGTAAAAGTAAAGTACACAGTCTAAGATTAAAAAGTGAAAATAATACAGTGAAATAAGTGAAGTGTAAACAATTAGCATTAGAATAAAAGTATAGAGTAATAAAAGTGAAATTAGCTTCTAATTTGAGACTCAGCTCGTTTTTGTCTGTGTTTTGACTGAATCTGCTGAGTTCTTGTGTGTCCAATAGTTTTTGTTTGTTTTTATTTTTGTTTGTTTTTGTTTGTTTATTTTTTCCCAGGATAGAGGATAAAATCCACTGATATTGATTTGATGATTATGAGTTTAATGCATACATTTTCTTTGTTTTTAATAATTTTTAAAAGTTTTTTTTTTTTTTTTTAGAATTTTTTTTTTCTTTTTCCACTTTATTGATTGATCAATTTGAGTGATCACATGTGATTATGTGATCAAAGGGGAGGGTGTTAGTATTAGATAGCAATATGGCCTACGTGCAGGACTGTACAAGGACTCTACAAGGACTCCATGTTATGACTATGATGTGTCTCTTTGTGACACGTATGTCTTTCGATGTGTGACGTGACAATGACTATATAAACTGTGTACTGCCTTTATTCTGTCTGAGAGAAAGAAACAGAGTAAACCAGTGGAACTTGAGAGAAACTTAAATAAACTTCCAGAGTTTGGCACACCACGATCCGTCTCTGTCTGCTAAATCCTGACAGTCGTCAACGCCCTCATCTTCTCCCGCCTCGACTACTGCAACTCCCTCCTCTCCAATCTCGACGCTAAATCCCTCTCCGGCCTCCAACTGGTTCAGAACGCAGCAGCCAGACTTCTCACTGGTTTTAACAGAAGGGAGCACATCACCCCTGTTTTAGCGTCTCTCCACTGGCTCCCTGTGCGTTTTAGAATTGATTTTAAGATTTTACTGATTACTTTTAAAGCTTTTAGATCTGGCACCCAGCTAAACATTGTTTTTAAAAGTGCTATACAAATAAAGATTAGTATAATCTTTTAATTTCCAAAACTGCTTTTTGACTGATATCTCCTCTAGTTTGACCACATTGTTGATCTTGATGGCTCCAAAATGCAAAATAAATAATTTACTTGGATGTTATGCTTTCCATAAAATACTGCCTTTTTGGAACGCAGGGGAGATGCAGGGCACAGTGCATAGGCGGTTATTGGAGGACCGGGCTGGAGAGCTGAAGGCTGGAGCTGTGCTTCTGCTGAAACAGGTGAAAACACTGGTTTTCAACAGTAACATGTAAAATGTCTTGATGGAACTGCCCTGATCTCTTTTGTTTCCAGGTGGGAGTGTTTTCTCCCTCCCATCGTAACCATTACCTGAACGTGACGCCTAACAACCTGCTCCGGGTTTACTCCCCTGATGGAACAGTCATGTCGTCCACCCAGCTCCCCCCATTGGTCTTTGTGAGTTCTGCGGTCCGAGTGTTGAGCTCACAATTTTCAGGCTGGGCTTATAGTTTTATTCACCAACATGTTTTGTCAATATACAGATGAGGGAAATGTCAGTGTTACAGACGTTATTATATACATAGTTCCCACATGACGTCACTACATACGGGGATTTGCCGACCCGGCGCCATTTGAGTTGGCATTCTGTGGGCAAAACAATAGAAAAAGAAGCTGAAACGTGTTAATGTCGTGATAAAGTTGAAAATGGTCATCTCCTGCTGGGTCAATGGATGTTCAAATCGTGCCGGAGGTTCCGTTAAACTTGGATTTTACAGTATACCCATCATTAGACTTCATGAATGTGAGAAGACTAAGCTTTTGTCAGAACAACCACGGAGGTTATGGCTTGCGAAGATAAACAGGCAAGAAAATCCCTCAAAACACGCAAGAATATGCTCGGAGCACTTTGTGTCAGGTGCGTATCGTATCTTATAATGTGTTGACAGACGTAATTTACTCAGTACTAACTTGTGTATGCTGATAGCTGGTAACTTGAGAGTTTCATTATTTAGCGTTAGATTACTTTATTATGAGGAGGATCGGTGTCGCGTCCGAGGCTCTCGAGGGCAACGTAAATGTATTAAATAGATAATAATAGTTCTATGGTGGGCTAAAACAATGTTCACAAACAGCATTGCTTCTGTAAAAAGATCTGTGTCATAAAATAAACTGCTCTTTACGCCTGGAAAAATCAGTTGCCCACCATTCACCAAAACATACGGTCAAAAACGCGGAAATAAACAATAACAGCAATCCAGAGTGTCCGTGTGGCATTAGCATTAATTAAATTAATTGTTAATATAATTAAAATAATTAAATGGAGCTCCAACTGGTATTAAATCTAAAGTTTTTGAGAAATGTTTGCATTGCTTGTTAATTTTTGCTGCATAATTTGATCAAATATGTAAAACATGTCCGTAGCACGTTAAACTGTGGTGCCATTGTATTAATATACAATTATTTGCTCAAAAGTTGCCCTTTTTTTCCAATTTGCGTTTGAATATCTACATTTATTCTCATTCTTCTGTTTAATGGAATGCACAAACACAGCAGCGAGCCATCAAAGATGGCGTCTCCGGGGAGGTCATGTGACATTCATTGGTCTGTGGGAACTATGTATACAATCATGTGTACAACTATGTTTATGTCTGTCAGTAAATGCACAATAGGTCTTGCATGCACATCCTTGTACGACGAATCTCTTTGCGGAGTGAGATGACAAAAGCCCACAATTGTAAAGCACGTTGTGACTCTAGTCTGAAAGGCGCTGTATGAATAAAGAATACTTAAAGTGAAAAAAAAATGAAAAACTGCTACTTACAGGTAAACTTTGGGGATATTAACAAAAAAAGTATAAGCATGATTTCTGGCTTCAATTTAAAATTATTGCACAACGTTGAAGGGGTTGTAAAAATGTAATCATTTGGAAAAAAAACCTGTATCCTAAAACAGAATATTAAACTAACTTACAGCCTTTTTCTCAGTAACCTCATGATTCCTGAAACTGCAATAGTGATATTTGACATCAGCATATGTCTCACTTCTGATCACAAATCATTGCAAAATATACATAATCTATGATGCTTTATGGCAATTTGTAGACATATTTTCCACAATCATGTCACTCACATTAGATTAGGTTTGGGTTTTCTGTCAGACAATCCACAACTTCATGCTCTTTTCTTGTTTTTCTCCCAGGAGCCCATGCTGCTCTCATCAACCCCCAATCTCCTCCGGGAGCCTGTGTCCAAGATGCAGCTGCTGTTTGATGATGACGATGATGAGGAAGAGGCAGCGGGGAGGAGCACGGTGCTACAGGAATCACTGGACCAAAGCACCAAACACCTGCAGCCCACATCCGCTCAGCACGACTCGGGCTGGGGAGCAGGTAGAACTCTCCTGGGCCTGGGGCTGTCGCGCACGGCTGGTTTTTAGCATCTGTGGAGTCCTGTAAATATCAGATGACTGGGTGATGTGCTCATGTGCAGTAGGGTTGCACAATTTATAGCAATCGGATCCAAATAATCATTTTTCATGTTAGCAAATGTAATGTTATAGACTGCAACCATTCCTGCAAACAAAAAGGGACCAAGAAGATTATAAGTAAAAAAACAAATTTTTAAAATATATATCAAACCTGCAGAAAAGACGCAGATTTTTTTATTGTGTTTGTACAGGAAAGTCCCACTGATAGTTCAGAATCTCTTTTCATTGCATTCCAGCCTTCATAGAGAGGAGAAGCTATTTCACAAGTTTACAGTGGTAGGGAGAAACCGGAGCACCCAGAGGAAACCTACACTGACAGTCACTCACAGTGATAACATGCTAGGCCCTCACAGAAAAGCGATCCAGGACCTTCTTGCAGAGAATCCAGAGCGCTAACCACTCCACTATCTATATACTGTATACCATAAAATGTACAGTCCATACATAATACATGCATTACCCTACTACAGATGGTCAGAAGTTCACAGATGACACACACATGCGTGCCTGCAAACAAGACACACGCAGACAAGACACAGGCCCAAACACTGTTCCTACACCTCTCATCATTTTGTCAATGAAGACAAGCATGCATCTTTCATATTGTTGTCGTGCAGAAGCATTTTCTCATTCCAGCAGAGATCTAATCTTTTTCATAATCTATGTAAAGTGTCAAAATGTGTTGCAAACTTCAGGTATGAGATTAGAAACTTGAATTGTGTTTTATTCTTAAAATAAAGCATATCCATTTCCTACAATATCATATTTAACATTTTCCCATCCCCTGAAATAGCTACAACCAGTAAGATTTCCTGGAGGAGAAAAGTTAAACCAATAACGAGGAGCTTCCAGGTTTTGAATTAATTTCAAATCAAATATTACATTTTCACATTGTACAGGTGTCAAATTGTAAACTTCTATAATGAAAAAACTCAAAGGAGACGTTTTAAGCTCAAATATGAATATAGATACTGTATGACTATGAATCCCAGACAGATGGAAGTATTTGGAATCATTAGTTTTGTAGCAACTTATTTTGCTTCTGTTTATTGAAGAGGCCTATAGAAACATGGAAGTAGGCTCTCCAGCAGCTCAGAGACAAGTGGGACTTCATACTTTTGTTCTCGTACTACCCGTGCTGAGTTGCACTCAAGTTTTTCAACCTCAATCATAACCCAGCACCCACAAAATCTGCACATATATCCACTTGGTCATTCATAACCTTTGATGTTATCTTTATAAAACTATACAATGCTGCTTTTCATCTTTTTTAGTTCTCTGTGTCAATATCTAAAATGGGAAATCTAACTTATAATCGCTGACAGGGTTAACTAGGAGTCTCTGGGAGAGAGAGATATTTATGACCTGAATCCATTCGAACTCTTGCAACAAAAACTAGTCTGGGATGAGGGCTCCGCGGTGCACTGCAGGACAAAGTTTCAAAAAATCACTCATGAATGACGGTGGCAGTTTTTGTGCTCGTGCACCCAAGCAAGGTCAAACCAAGCTTTCTTTATGTTCTTTTAAAAAAGTTTCTTCTGGCAAAACTTTCTTTTCCTCATTTGATGTGGATCAAGCATCCTCCATCTTTCTGAAACTCATGGATAGGCTAAAAAGTGTAAATTCTCTGTATTGTGTACAACCAATGCATTATTATATTATTAATATTATTGTTGTTTTTATTCAATTCAATATAGTTTGAAAACTGTCTTGAAATAAAAAACTAACCATCCCAATATTGAAAATTCAAACGCACTTTATATAACAATGTGGTAGATACTTGATACGTCTTGTTTAAATATGTCTTTTGTGCTTTTTGTGCGCAGATGACCTTGACGAGCTCCTGGGAGAGTTGCCTGAGGAAATGTACACAGCTTGAGAGCAACGTTTCTTACTCCAGCCGTCATGTGCTTTTGAAGCTCTGCGATCTCTTTCATTTCTGAACAACACAGTTAAAGTTGTATGGAGTTGTTCATTTTAAAAAGAACAGTATTTTGTTATTGTGAGACCATACATCTCAAAGGACATTATGCTCTTGAATTAAATTACACCACCTGCTATTTTATGTTATTGTAAAACGTAATTGGTTTGAGATTGTGGTCTTATCTCCTCTCCTCCAGTGACCTTTAAATAACCGGATCTGCTGTAATAATCATACTAAAAATTACTTTCAATAAAAAAAACTTCAGTTGTTGCCTTCATTTACTGATTTGCCAGCCACAATAGATTTCATCCAGACCTGTCTAAATAAACTATATTTGTTAATGGTACACTGTAGTTTTTACTCCCATCTAGCATTGAGATCATATATTATAATTTACAGTACTCTGGTAGCTTCACAGGGCAATGTGTCGTATATGACAGTGGTCCCCAACTCCCGGTCAAACTAATTTTGTGTCCCTTATCAGTAGTTTTAAGAGTGAGCAGTGGAAGTTAGAAGGATTGAGATTTTTTTCCACTATTTTCTTCCCTCATTTACGAAGATTCCAGCTAGTGTACAGTTATATCCCGATGTAGAAAAAAAACATAATATTCATCTGATATTGTAATGTTTAGTCTTTGTTTGCATTTACATGATACATTACAGTATGTATATAAACAAGGATATTTACCGTACACTGTTGCTAAATAAATGCACTATACCCATATGACCGCGTGTTCACCCAGAAGAGCTGAAAAGTGGGACCACTCGTCCAGGATTTTCCCAACTGTGGAAAAGCCCTGATCCACGCTTTTGCATCACTGTAACAGATTCAGGTTAATCCTCTTGTGATTCATGTGCATATAAATTCTGCTTTATATTCAGACCAGCACAACATCGGTCAGGTAAAAAGGGGAACCAAACACAACTATCGGATTTTCAATATTGGCGCGGTTTCAGATGGTAATAAAATGTTTCACATATAATTGAGATCCAGGTCAAGTGAAGTGACTCCTGTTACATCCACTGTGATAATGGGCCGTGTTGCGTATCAGTTCTAGTGTTAGATTTTTTTTTCTTCTGTGTAAAATCATAGATCAATACAATGTCGGCTCTTGTTCAGAGTGTAAAGAAATCAATAAACCTGAGGGGATATTAGTCCGCTCGCTGGCTTTAAATGTTTACTATACAAATTATGCTAAATGTAATTATTTCTATAGTGTTTGCGGACAATTTAGTTACTTACTATTGTCCTATTATATGGGCTAATTATATGTTTAATTAATACTATTATGATTATTTATGTGGTGTGGCAGGTTTTGGTTTAGATGTACTGTATTAAATATCCATTAAATCACTTAATCATATCTGTGTCTGCCCAGGCTGACAAAGGGACTACAGGGTTAATTAAGAAATGATAAACCGTTGTCACCTGAATATGAATAATAGTGATATTGCATTGTTGATTAAATGATTTGAAAATCATTTAGAGTCTGTATCCATAAAGTCAAAACTGCAATATGAATGTTATGGTGGACGATGATGGCTTGATACCTGGGAATGTCATTGCTTAAGATGTTTCTCTGATCTATTTTGGATGTATTCAAAGGGCTTTTGATCGTTTAAAAAGAAAAGAAAATTCCCTCCAATTGGCCTGGTGGAAATAAGACTTTACTGCCAAATAGCATTGTGGCCGTGGATAAGGCAGGTTATACAATGGAGCACCAAAACACCGATTTAAGATTTTGTTTTGATGATAAATGATCAATAACTGTTTTACTTGTTTGATTTTGACTTTTGATTCTGGTGCAGCACATAATCAAATTGGTCTTGGAAAAAGTAGAATGTTATGAACAAATTAGATAGCATGCTATCTTCATCTTATCAGAAAACTTTTGAGTCATAATTTGATGCTTTGGGCGATTGGTTGAATGGAAGTAGTTCTCTTTTTCACTGATCTGCCTAAAAAAGCGGATCCAAAGTTGTGACAGAGACTAAAATACATGCATTTAAACTAGTGATTGAAACCAAACTATTTAGAGAGCAAAGAACAATGGATTTGTTTTTATTGTTTGAAAATTAGGTTTCCTAGTTTCGAGTAGTGATGTTTTGAGTGAATCACGCATTTGCAACACTGCTGTTTTACTTTTGTATCCTAAGTAAGCTTTCCACCCACATTGTCCATTGCTTATCATCTGAAAACCATAAGCCAACGGAGCAGTCCCATGCCTCTTCAGTCCGGTAAAAAGCCTAGCTCGGGGGTCCTAGTGGACATCATTAGTCCCTTCCAGGAAGAGGATGAATCATAGTATTTGGTAGGCTCTGTGCCCCTGTGTTAGTGCATATCTAAATTACCGGTATACACAATATGTTTCACAGCGTTAGTCTATGTGTCATGAAAAATACACACACAAAAAGCCTTTACATATTGAGCTTGACATAGACACAGATAGACATGATTGCACCGTAAACTCTGACCCTTTGAACAAATAATGAACGACAATGGTCAAATCTCCAACTCCCAACAGTCGCCAAAGGTGGTACTTTCCAGATCTTTCTATAATCTATGAATCTGTGAAAAACAAGGGAAATGGCCTGGCTGTTATAAATGGTGGTGTTTATTTGTCTCACAAGACCAGAACAAAAACAGCAGTGATGAATGGTAAAATGTGTTTTTTTTTCTCTCTCCACATCATTTCTTTGCTCTACCGCAAAACAAAAATGGCAAATTGCACTGATGAAATGTGTCTTACGATCCAGTCTGAGTGGGCTACTGATGGCTAAAAGGTACTTCAATCTCTGTCCTTACTCTCCTTCTATGTTCTAAAGATCTACTTGCATTCTGTTGTTATGCACCAAGGGAACACTTCACACTAAAATATGGATTTAAAAGTGTGTCTTTGTGTTTGTGGAGTAGGGTCTGTTTTGTACTAGTGCGTCTGCGAGTTTGAGTTTTGTGCGGGTTTGTGTGCTTGTGTTTTGTGTGTGTGTGTCAGTGTCAGAGCTGGTTCGGAGGGACTGGGACAGAGACTGTCTCCATGTCTTTATTAGTTTGAAAATGAAACTCATCCAGCATGTTCTTTGTCGGAGATTGCAATGTTTTCTTGTGCTATAATCTAAAAAATGTCCACCAAAGCTTTACTACTTTTCTTTAAACCCAATTTTTTGTAATTTCTACTCATTAAATTGTATGAATAGGTTAAACATGAGTGGGGAAAACCGTATTCATATTGGTTGATCAAAGGCAAAATTCATTTCTTTATGGCTGCAAGTGTTCTAACTCATAAAATGGGGAGAGATCATGAGATGACTTATATTTTTTCAAGGATTTTAATGATTTAATGATAAATATATACTATGAAAATAATGTGACATAATTTCTGTCAGTGGGCTCACCTCTTCACAGATCTGACCAGGAGCAGTCCCCCGCCTGTCTTCATATGATAGATCCACCATGTCAACATATAATTTAGCTAAATGGCACAATAATTGAATCACCAATGCTGCAATGATATATTATTTTACATCAATAACAGCATGTGTGTCCAACATTAGCCAGTGCTGAGCATGAACAATAAATATTTTACATGTGAGTGTAAAAAACATACTGAATTATATATGTGCAATACAGGCAAAGGCACTGCGCAGTATGCAACTCTTGTGTTACATTATTAGATGATAATGACGATAATTACACTTTAAATTACTTGCCTGTAATTTGGTGATGATTGTGGTGACTTGTAACCCTGGAGACCATTAAAATGTATTAGTATGGTCATGGGGAATTTTGACTTTGTTATACTTACATTTTTTTTTTTCCAATAATACAATTTTGACCAAATTACAGTACATGACACTAGATTAACAGCAGAAAAAGGCAGTAATTCTTTTATAATATTGCCACTGCAGTTCCTCTAAAGCACCCCAGACCCCACACCAAAATATATCGCACCAAAATATAATAGTGACATGTTAGTCCCATATGAACCAGCCCGGACTCTGAGGAGCACAGGGACTGGACTCCTGTTAGTGCCCAGAGTCAGAACTAAACATGGGGAGGCTGCTTTTCAGATTCATGCTGCTAAAATCTGGAACAATCTTCCTGAAGATGTGAGACAGGCCTCCTCTCTGACAATGTTTAAAACCAGGTTAAAAACGGTGCTGTTTAACTGTGCATACAGCTGAGGGATTTTATATTTTTATCTTTCTTTTGAATATCCTGTGATTATTTATGATTTTAATGCTATCTGGTTCAGCACTTTGAGTTGCCTTGTGTATGAATTGTGCAATATAAATAAACTTGCCTTGCCTTGCCACTAGCATGATGGGAAGAGTAGGTCTACTTTAATAATGTTTTGATTTAAGGAATGGTTTTAATCAGGCTTGTTAGGGATTTTATTATCTTTTAACTCCTTCATGTTTCTTTTCGATGTATTTACATACTTCTGATTTTTTTGCTTTGTTTTGTTGTCTGTGATATTATATTGTAATCTGTTGCACTTTTTCCTGGAAATGTAAGGTGCAATAGTAATAGTAATGAAACGTATTATTATTATTATTATCGTTATTATTATATGAAAAACGCTGCATGGTGCACTGGGTGCAGCTTTGACTGCCACCCCCCAACCCAGAAACGGATTAAGGGTAAGAAAATGGAGGAATGGAAAAATATTTTTTTTTAATGTATCTGTTCCCTGGTCCCACCGCCAGAGAACATTACATTAAAATAGTGTAACATAACGATGCATAGGATTAAAATAGATACAAATTGCTTTGTAACATTTGTCATTTTTATTAGTTTGTGAAGCCAATGCCCTGTAGTATTGCCTGATGCTTTAAGTGGGAACAATCACTGCTCAGAGACAGATGAAACTGTCCACCTGTTCTTTGTTAACTATATAAAGCTGCTGTCTGGGGCTATGGACTAATTACAGTAGGTGCAGAATCACCAACTGTTGGGTTTTGCAACTCGCGTTTGCAGATGAGGCAAATTTCATTAGATTGAGGGACCAGTAATAAACCAACACAAGCAGAATCAATAATTAATCCTTTTTTGGGGTTATGGTTTTTTTTGTTTAGATTTGTCTTGGGTGGGTGGAGTGGACCTTCCTCAAGTAGGAGTTCAAGCATTTCAGGATCTTCACGAGTGAGGAAAGGATGGAGCAATGAGATTGACAGGCGAATCAGTGCAGCATGGGCAGTGATGCGGTCGTTGCATCAGACCATTGTGGTAGAGAAGGAGCTTCCTCCGCAGGGTGAGATAGAGTGAGGTGCTCAGTCACACAGGAGGAGCTGCTTCTCCACATCAAGAGGAACCAGTTGAGGTGGCTCGGGCATCTGTTCCAGGCACGTCCCACCGGGAGGAAGAGCCAGGACACGCTGGAGGGACTATGTCTCTCAGCTGGCCTGGGAACGCCTTGGGGTTCCCCCTGACGAGCTGGAGGAAGTGTGTATGGATAGGGAAGTCTGCGTCTCTGCTTAGACTGCTGCTCCCACGACCCGTAGCGGATGAAGCGGAAGAAAATAGAATAGAAAGGATTTGTCTTAATGATTCATCCCAGTTGCCTATATTTTAGTAGGAAAGATATGGTATACCAGGGGCCAGATGGGGCTTTTTTGATGACTGTCTGGCTCTCAGACAAATCTCAGTAGGCATTAATAGTAAGAATGTTTTATGCTTTGGATTTCTTGGTATGACAAAAAAAAACGTATTAAAAAGTAATAAAGTTATAAAAATATGTATGGCTCCCACGGAAATACATTTAGAAAAGGAGACTGACCTCTGTGCAATACTCTAATGCACCGCTAGTAGTCGCCAGATAATGTACGCTGCATGACTTTTTGCTGGCTTCTCAGCACAATAGAACACGTTAATTTATTATATATATTTGATCGTTTGTATTTTTCCCATGGATTTTGATTTTCCCTTAAAGTTCCAGAAACTTCCGCTGTTCCACTGCCCCCCTCCCCTCCTTTCCCCGCGCACGTGCACAGGTGGTGCGTTCATGAATGTGTAGCGTACGTCATCTCGAGAGCAAACTTGAGCATTTTGAAGACTAGTTATCATTTACAGTCAGTTTTTAGCCACGTCTGTCATTTGACATGAAATATAAGGAGGAAACGCGTGGATGAAAACGGGAGCTAGCTTAAGTGGCTTTTTAGTTGTTGTGGTCGGCAAAGTGAGCAAAAGTGAATGTCAAGTGGCGGTGAGTGTTTTTCCTAACATGTGAAAAACTGTGAAAGATGATTTTTTAATTTATTGGCCACAATTTGCAGACAATAAACCTGTAAATGTCAGCAGCAGGAAGATGCTACTGTTCATGTTAGCAGCATGTGATACTGCTGTACATGTTACTAGCATGTGATACTGCTTACATGTCAGCATGTGACACTACTGAACATGGCTCTAGGATAAAAGTGACAGTGAATTGTGCGGCCCCATGTTCCACATTCTGATATCACAATAATAATGCATTCCAATTGTACAATATTTAAAGGTTTTCTTGGACTTGTGTTACTACTATTCTACATAGCATTATTTTTATGTCGACATACTTTCATAATCCTATATCTAAAATACCATTAGGCCATTATACAGATGTAATAGAGTGATATGAAATTTCCATGACATGTATTATTTTTGTAATAGTCTGAGCAGCAGATTGTACCAAATAGAATAACTGCAAAGGTTTCTGTCCTTCTGGCCTGAGTCACTGAATGTAGAGTTAAAATAACTCTACATTATGGAGGTTTTATGAAAAGGAAAAATTAATTTTGTTTAGAGAAATTGTTCTGATTAGTCTACTCCATCCATACCCTAACTAAATATGTGTATTTGGTCGCCAAGGGTCTTTTATTCCAGAAAATCTTCCCTGTGTGTGACCCATGTTAAATGTTATCACAATACTGACATCCATCCATCCATCCATTTTCTTCCCCTTAATCCATTTCTGGGTCGGGGCTGCACCCAGTAAGCACGAGCCCCTCACTGATCCTCCTGCAGGTGATGAGTCCGGAGCCTTGATCTTTCAGCGGTGGCTTCAGGCAAAGGCCCAATGACACAACGACAGCAGTCATCAGTGGGAGGCGTGAAGTAGGTCTTATGGTGGGCTCGAACCCACGACCTTCAGGCCCTAAGGCCAATGCTCTACCAACTGAGCCACTGACATCCTACTAATAATAATACTGACATTGATAGACTTAATAGACTGTATAACAAATACCAATTTCGATATAATAATAATGGTTTTAAAATTGTATTTACTGGACAATAAACTATCAATTATAACACAAATGAATAACACATACTAATAGCACTGTATTATGGTACACCACAAGGTTTTATTTTCTAGGTTTATTTCTTTCTTAAGTTGATGCATTCTTATCTAAGTATAGATACTTTTTTTTCTAAGTATCAATTCAAATCTGATTTTAAATGCATTTGACAGTCCTGGTGTCCCATCCAAACTTGCATGTAGGATTTTGTCGCATAGGAAAATCACTCAACACACACACAATAAAACTATATTTGTTATCTGTTCACTCGCACACTGGCGTAACATTTCGCCTATACCTCTTTGACATTGTGGTCTTTGTGTGGACCTTCGTTAATGGCTCATCGCTTTATTTTTAGTTTCCCCCTTTTATTTTTACTCCTGTCCTCTTCTCATCCCTTCTTCCATAACCTACATCTCTTCTTCTGCATCACTTCCCTTGACATGCCGCTTTCCTCTCCACCCTAATACTAACCAAGGCCCCCCCCCTCCTATGCTGCTATGCCATCAAAACAGCCTCTATGCTTTTCAAGATCCATCCATCACTCCACCTCTTCATCCCACAACCAAATGAGCTTCAGGAGGGTGTGGGTAACAGGGCAAATTTTCAAAACACTTGCTTTGTAGAGTGGAGAGTGTACTGTTAGTGTCTTTTCCCACCCCCCTGCTTGCCTGCCGCCTGCCTGCCCCCTCTCTCTCCTCTCCTCTCCTCACACCACTCTTTCCCTTTTGCGAAGCATGTGTGTGCGAATCCCATCTCCTGGCTGCTCCGTTGCCTCTCGCTGCCGCCACAGATGAGCGCAGAGGACAGAGGGAAGAAGAGGCTCGCTTGTGGATGTATCGCCGGGAAACTGGGAGGAGTTTTGGATCGGCTTGTGAAGCTTCCTAATCATCCCCATTAATCGTCCTCCTATCCTTTTTATCAAAGCCCTCGACTCTGTTTTGTTTTTCACGTGCGTGCTCTGGCTGTCACACGCCGGCTTGCTCAATGACGGCGCGCTAGGCTGAGACGGACAGAGGAGCTGAGGTTTGTCTTGAGTTGGGGAGCGTCTGGGGTCTTGTCCGTGAACACGGGGGATGACTGTGGTGTGTGTGTGTCTGTGTGTGGTTGATGCTGATGAGTGGCTTAAATACTCTGCTGTGATTGGCTCGCTGGCTCTTAAGTGCCTCTTACCTCTGGCTCCGGGGACACAGAGACCCACACATGTGTCAGAGATATCGACCTGTCTGAGGAGGATTTGGAGAGAACTGGAAGTTTGGGATTTGGGTTAACTCTGCATGTATGTTTTTTTGTTCTGCAGAAAACAGAGGGGTAAAAGCTGAGAAAGTTCAACAAACTATTGACATTAAGATGTTACAGCCTGTTGTTTTGGGGTGATATGTAATATTTCTCAGAGGACTGGAGTCTTGCTGGCAGATGACCAGATATAAGTTAAAAAAGAAATGTGCTTTTACCCATTCCAACATTTTGATGACATTTTGTTTTTTCTGCTTATCTGTTGGATACTGCTGAATGTGATTAACGAGCTGAAGATCTGTGTCTGGCTTTAATCAGTGACTCTACCCTAATAATGATAGTATGTCTCATGCTGCAGGTGTCAGTGGCTCCAGTGCTGAGGGGCTCATCATGGACCTGAAAGAGGCATGTGGCAGTGGAGGCAGTGAGGATTCCAGCCGGAGACTGTCCTCGTGGCAGGCCTTTGCTCGCTCCAGCACTCTGCACGGTCTGCGCTTCGTCTTTCCCTCGGGCCGGCCCTCAGTGCGCCGCCTCCTCTGGGCCCTGGTGCTGCTGTCCTGCATTGGGCTCTTGGCTCTGGAGAGCGCTGAGCGGCTGTCCTACTTCCTGTCCTACCCACATGTGACCAGTGTGGATGCAGTGGCGTCCAGCAGCCTGGTGTTTCCCGCCATTACCATCTGTAACCTGAATGCGTATCGCTTCAGCCGCCTGACGCGTAACGACCTGTACCACGCTGGCGAGCTGCTGGCACTGCTGGATGTGCACCTGGCCATACCCCAGCCGCACTTGGCCGAGCCCGAGGTGCTGGCTTTCCTGGAGGAAAAATCCAACTTCACGGCATACAAGCCCACACCATTCAGCATGAAGGAGTTCATCGAGCGAGTGGGCCACGATCTAGAGGAGATGATGCTCTACTGCCGCTACCAAGGCCAGGACTGCACCTCCAGAGACTTCCAACCGGTAAGTCCAGTTTTACAGTTTCATGAATGTGTGAGATTCAGTTTGTGATCTGAAGTTTGGAGAGAGGGATGGTGATTCTGTCAATGCAGTGAGCTGATGCAAGCTGCAAGATGCTGTTTTCTCTCACGCTGGTGTGACGGTCTCCTGCTGTGCTTCAGGGACTGTTGAGCTGCTGTATTATCAAACAAGTTTTCCATTTCTATTTTCCTTATCTTCAATCTTCCTCTGTATTAGACAATAGGCAGTTACAGCACTACATCAGCTTTGTGCTGCAAACAGGTGGCTCAGCTGTTCCCTGCATGTAGCTTCTTTGTTACCAACTGATTGAATTCTATAAGGATTTTGGACTTTCCTGAATAGTTTGAACTGAAAAGTGCTGCTGTAATGTGTTGTAAATTGGCTTGGGGTGCAGGTGTAGCTTTGATCAACTTTTGCTTTGAGAACCAATGAGATAGTATGCAACGCTTCTCTCTGAACTGGGCTATGGCTGGAGGAACATTGCATATAGATAAAACTCAATGACTATTCTTATTATTGAATCATATTCAGTATTATGTCATATAACTATGCAGAATTGTACTTCCCACTTTTGTATACGTCTAAGAATTTGAACTGACTGAAGCTTTATGGGGTAGAAGCATAGACTGTATATACTGTATTAACGGATGTAGTCACGCCTATCTCCGCCGTTCTAACTAACGGGCCAAAAATTGTGCTCTACTGGAGCTATCCAAAATGGCCGCGAGTGGTCCCGCCCACAAGAAAATGGTGAAAAAACACATCTGCGCATGCGTCAGCCGGCGAGAGCCCCATTCATTTGAACGAGTGCCTTCAAAAGTTTACAGCAACTAAACCAGAGTGGTACAAAAAAAATTCACTTCCCTCAGCATTGACACACATGTGGAACGGAGCTTTGGGCCAAGAGCCAACTTTTGGACCATCCTGTAAAGACGTTTTCGAGAGGTCAGCTAATGCTATATGTTAGCATTGGCTAAATCTTATTCCGGGTCCACCCCCATCGGCCTGTAGTGGTATTGCGAGCATGTCAGCGCACGTCATTTTGGCCACTTTTGAGCCACCAAAAATTTATTTGATCGTAGATTTGATTGATTGAACTTATAGATGTAACTGATGGAATTAATTGAGTTGTTTGTCGAATTGCTTTCCTTGGACAATGAGGATTGGAACAACAATAACCATAAATGCAAATATTTAAGTTTTATTCATCCGATATTGAGTGACTTTCCTGTTTTTGTGGCGCGTAATCATCCAAGTCCAAGTTGCCCGTGTTATTTGGATTTCACTCAATCAATTGACCACTTTACCCAGAATTACTGGCACTTGCACTTTAGATGACCTTTGCAGAACTGCACCCAAATATTTTATGAAAGTCAATACAGCATTGACTAGATGTTATACTGTAGTTTGAGGAAAGGTCATCTCAAGTCAGAGAAATTACAATCTCCTCTAGAACTCATTATAATTGTGGAAATTTTCCAGTGATATTAGAGAAGTTTTTTTTGAGGACTATCCGGATGTTAAGATGACATAATAGTGCTAGAACATGCTTCAAGCTGTGCAACACTATTATCTTTTTTATTTTTTTTATTTAGAATACCAGTATAAAGTCCATAATAGATAAAGAAATACATTACATTTTCTATCTAGTCTCAATATTGTTATTCCAATTATTCAGTTACAAAAAAAAGCTTGTATTATTATTTCAGTACCTGGATTATTCAGTTAATGACCTAAAATACGTATTATTTTTTTTACGTATAAAATAAGATTAAAAGTCTGTGTCCTAATCATTTTAACTATGACTCTATACATGTCTTTATTATGAATTCCTGTGTGCGAAATGGAAATTTAAAGATGAAATTGTTGTATGTTTGCGATTGTGACAGTATGATGGCATGATTAAAGTATGACGCCTACAGCACATGAATGATACTAGCTTATTTAAGATTATATATTTTTCCCACCTGTTTTTTCTATACTTCTGAATCATTTTATATATTGCAGAGAGGTGCATGAGGATTTTGAATCAAGAAAAATCCTTTTTTGCTTTGGATGTTGTTTTGTACATCTTTAAGGCATGGCATGAAAAGGTTATATATTTAGCACAGTTCATACACAAGGCAACGCAAAATGCTTAACAAAACAAGAATCACAGAAAACAAAAGAAACACAATCATAAATAATCACAGTACATTAAAACGAGTGGCTATACAATTCTTCAGTTGTAGTCATTATATTGAGTGTTGGAAAAACCTGGGAGCATGTCTTTTACAGTCCTCTGCTTGCAGTTTGTCTATTTTTATGTAACGTCACTGGGAACACGTCGCACATGTCGAGGAGCATCATGTCATGTCCAAACCGCAGCGGGACGTTCTATATTAAGCCTTGTTCACATTTTGTGCTGACTCAGGTTAAGTCCAACAGGAGGCGCTTTGTTCATGCGACTGAAGGCGACCAGTGGAGCGTGCACAATGTAAACATCCAGCTGCTATGAGCCGCCTTCAGGGACCTGGTTCACCTAATGAGCTCTTGTTGTGGCTCTAAAGTACTTAAAGTGGCCTAGAGGGCATTAAAATACAGTGTGAAATTAACTCTGGTTAGAGCATTTGAGGTCAAAGCACTTACTTGGTTGATATGGTTTATAAATAGCAGTAATGTAATGTAATGTATCTTTAGTATACTTATAGATGCATTGCATTTAGTGCATTTTCGGTCAGGTACAAAATTCATACTTTTGCAATGCCACCTTTTTAGGGCTGAAACAACTAATTGATTAATCGACGACTAATCGATTATTGAAATAGTCTACAACTATTTTAGTAATCGATTAATCGTTTTCTGGTTCACACAGACTCAAACAGAGCAAAAATGACATGAAAATGTAGTATTTTTGATTAAAACAGACTTTGTTTTTATAATTTCATGAATATCTGTCTGTCTCATCCAATCAGATAGCAGAATTAGCACAAAGAGCCTGTTACAAACATTTACTTTAAGTTTACGCCATCAATACGTCCTCGAGTGTTGCCATTTTAGCTTTTTGTGATGAAAAAATATTTTTTTTTCTACACAATTCACAGCCAAGCGATTACTCAATTAATCGTAAAAATAATCGATAGATTAATCGATTACAAAATAATCGTTAGTTGCAGCTCTACATCTTTTCAGTCAAAGGCAACTCCACTGGAAAAGAAAATACTGCATTGTCTTATTCCTGGGAATTCATAAAACTAATACAACAAAATGTTAAAATGTTTTATTTCTCATTTCAACAATAAGAAAGTGCTTTAACAATTAAACATTTTATCAATTGTTTTAACAGTCAACAATAAGAGCACTGTCATATTCCAGTTCGGTGCTAGCAAAGGTGGTATATTCTGTGACAGTTTTGCCTTACGCTACGTACAGTCCGCTTTACTCGTCACTCTCGTTTACTTTAAAATACCAGTATCGGTATTGGTACATCCCTACTAAATTCCCAATGATCTGTCATGTTTTTCAATTGTGAACTTAATTTTTGTGTAAATATATTAATAATTTTTTACAGCCCTCTTCATCCTTTCCTTAATCCTTTAAGGCCTGACACACCTGGTAAAACAGACCTGTAAAACCTATGGCTGACTTCAGAACCACCCTCCAAAACCTGAAGTTTTCCTGAAATTCAACGTCTACTACTTTAACGACCTGAAATGGGTTTAAAACACTGACCGAGTTGTTAAGAAAGCTCGTCAGCGCCTCTACTTTCTGCGTAAACTTTGAGAATTTACCACTAACTCTAAGATTCTGCTTAACTTTTATCGCTGCACCATTGAGAGTTTACTTGTTGGTTCTGTGTCTGTGTGGTTTGGAAACATCACAAATAAAGAAAAGAGATCTTTAAAAAAGGTGCTCCGCTCTGCAAAGAGGACCGTGGGCTGTGAGCTTCCTGTTCTGGAGGTTCTTTATAAATCCAGACTTTTAAACAAAGCTCTTAGGATTGTCAATGACTCTTCTGGCCACCCTGGGAAAGCCATGCTCCAGCTTCTTCCCTCTGGCAGAAGATATCGCTCTCTGAGATGCAGGACATCTCGTTACGCTTTTATCCACAAGCTGTTATCAGTGTGAACAGAGCACTTTAATGATTTGCACTTGTTTTGAAACTGTTTTAGTCGATCGATTTCACAGTGACATTTGTTTACTGTTTTATTTGTTTTATTTTTGTCTTTTAATGTTGTTTTATGTCTGTATTTGTCTGTGCACACTGGTGACTTTTGCTAATGTATTCCAATGTGGTGTTTTTACTGCAAATGGCAAATAAACTGAATCTGAATCTACTAAGCTCTGCCTCTGTAGCAGATAGCTCTCAAATTCTTTTGAAATTATGTTTCTGACACTTGTGGCCTGTTCTTACAGCGCCGCTCCTCGTTCTGTGAGCCACGCTAAGTCTCTACTCGGCACTTTTTACGGCCTGAATTCATACAAAAGCTGAATCAATGAGCTCAAGTTTTCAATTAAATTACGGATTTTAATACAACTTGTATGCAGTAAGACGCATTTTTATGAACTCATTAGAAAATAAATCGGGTATAGCTTCTTTAATACAAATCAGGTTTCCTATCCACTTTGCAGAAAAGCATCTCCAAAACATTCTTCACCTGCAATGCTATGCTTCACTGTGTAAATGGAACGCTGAAGCCAGTTCAGGCCCATCTCAAGTTTTCTAATGACCATCTGGATGATCCAGGTTTTTGGTAAAAACTTTCCAGTTGTCTATGGAGGGATAAAATTATTGAGTTGCCTCCCAACAACACCGAAGGACCTGCAGCTTTGAATGAACAGCAGCCAACCATCATCTCTGTACTGTAGAAACAGGTGCAACTGCAGAGTTTTGCAGGGTAAACTCTGGGTAGACGTTGCACGTTTTTTAAAGGGTTTATGTAATCCATTGGTGAATGGCTGTTGGATATTAAACAACTTATAGCACCGTCGGCGCTCCTGCTTAGCTGTATAATTGTCGTCATTTTCTCTGATGCTCTATTTCAGGTTCTGTCTGCTTTTCCACCTGTGAGATAACTAGCAATGATTTAAATTAATTTATGCACTACAAATCCAGACTGTGCAAAAAGGCCAAGGCCAGTATATCATGTGGGCACCATTTAGAGTTTTAACATTTGTGCATCACATTAGGTAATGTAATGCAATATTTTGTTTTGCGTTTAAGTAGTTTAAATGCTTTTGTTTTTCATCACTTTAATACACTTTTATTTTTGTATTAAAAGCCTTTAGTCATGTAGCTACTTCCCAGTCCCACGGTCTCGCTCCATGGCTTCCACAGCACAAGCTTTTCCCTGGAGTTTCTCTTTGTTTGGTGTCACTTTTTCCTGCAAAATTTATTATTTGTGGCTTCAGTTTGTTCTTGCAGTGGATTCCTGCTTCAGAGTTTGTCACCGTTGACTTGTTTTTAAAAAGCGTTGACCTTTTTAAAGTTGTAGAGTTTAAACTTGCATCAACTTGGAAGAATGCATAATTCAATAGAGCAATGGTGTAACTCCTGCTACCATATTTCTTTTCTTGAAATCTGTCTCAGTATGATATGAATCTCATACGTTATTAATTACACAATTTTACTGCCCTGAATTCTTGCATTGGATAAGCACTCATCCTTTTACATATTTACCAAGTTGCATGTCTAGATGCAAACTATCTAATGCCATACTGTGGAATATTCCAGACAGTGAGGACAACATGGTACAGTATATTCCATATCAAGTGCTGTTAGTTTCTGAAAAACAGTATTGCAGCTCAGAATCAGAATCAGAATTATTTTTATTGCCACGTAAGTAACAGGAAGTCACAGACTTGGAAATTGCTTTGGCTCAGTGCAACAGTCAGAAAGAGAGGTAAAGAATAGAGAATAGAGTAAGGCATAATAAAAATCAGCATACACTTCTAAGGAATAATAATTATTACAATTACTATGTACAATATGCAAGTGCACATGGTGCACACAATATGCAGTAGGCAGTGCAATAAAGTGACAAGCAGTAAGTGATGTTATGATGGGCATTAAAGTGACTTAATAAGGGACCGTAAGGTGACTTATAAAGGGCGGGGGGACAGGTTATGAAGTGTTCAGAGTCCAACAGCTGCCTTGTTTTAGCCTTACATTCCACTCTTTATTGTTTGAATATCGTTATCAAAATACCTCAAATATATCATGTGAAATACATCCTCTACGCTTTGTTTTTCAGTATTTCATTTCCCTCTGTTCTGTGTTTGCTTCTCAAATCGGTTGTTGGCAGTTTGACAATTATGTGAAGTCCTCTAACTGCATGTTGTGCAGCTAAAATAAAAATCAATTGAAATGATAATTGTCAATATAGCCAACCCCTGTAGGGATGCTTTTGGCTTGATAAAACAATTTCTTTGTTCATTTGAATTGTGCAGATGAGAGCTCTGAGAAGCATTACTTTCTGAATATTGTTCGTGAGCTGTGGCTTCACATGTGGCTGTGTTAGTCTTACATAATGGCTCTCTGTGGTTGTGACCTCATCGCGGCTCAGATGAAATCACAATGACACAAAGGCGACTGCAGGCCTGCTCCTCCACAGTGCCCGCCTGTTGCACTGCTCAAATACAATCATGTACCAAAATTGCCATGCATGATGCTGTAGCTCAACGTTTATGTTATTTCTTTACACATTGACAATAAACAGGAGAATTGTTTAGCGGTTGACCAATTGTGGCTCTGAAAATAAAATGATCTCCCAAAACTTAAAATAAAACATTAAGTCATTCCTGTATGAACTGTGTGGAGATAAGCACAGACTGTGTGAGTCCAGGTACAGACAGAGGACTCGAGGGGCCGCAGTCTGCTTGACTGACGTTGTGAGAAAAACCAGGGGGACTTTTTGGGACACGGACTCAGTGATGTGACAGATAGAATGGAGCAGGAAGCAATGCTAAGCCACGCTCACTAACATATTCAGTGGAACGAGGAGGTTACCGTTCATTTTTGTTTTGTTTTTTGTTTTTTTTCCTTAACGCAGAGATTGTTTTCAGGCAATAACACAAACAATCTCTTTGTTCTCACAATGGAGAAATGTACATTTCACTTTGGCATAAATAGGATCACTCAGGGTATAAGAATACAGGAAGTATGCAAACAGTGAGGGTGTCTCAGTCTTCCACTGAAGGAGCTCCTCAGCTCCTCCACAGCCCTGTGCACTGGGTGGGAGGTGTTGACCATGATGGACACCTCCCAGATTCTAGAGGGCAGAGCGGAGCTGGCCCTCCTGACCAGCTTGTTCAGCATAATTAAGCCACTCTGGGGAAATCTCAAATGTAAAAATCATGCAAGGTGGCAAAGGAATTGGCAGGGCCTTTAGGCTTTTGGCCAATTTACCCTCAGAGACTATTGCTCCACTACTTAATGGAGCAATGCACACTATTGACAACAGGGCTATGTAAACTTCCCTTTTCAAACCATGTACAGGTATCTTTTTTAGCGCAATT